ATACTTGTTCTTTAGCCTACTGTACTTTAGTACATCCATAGTTTGTCTATAGGGAAATGTAATTAAAAAGTATTGCGCAGCGCTAGCTGCCATACAAATCATGTGCGCATGAAAATATATTTTTAAGTTTACCATAAAAATTTTGTGTAATGTTAGAATCACAGTGGGCAAAAAACCTTGTTCGTTTTAATAACGCTTTTAGAACATTTGGCGGACATGAAAAGTTCTAAAAACGTCCTTACAACGTTTTTAGAACGAACATGCTTTTTGCCCACTGGGAAGAAAAACTTTCAGGAAATTTATTTTTCTAACTTTCAACAAATTAACAGTGTTAACTTAAACTTTGAGGACATTTGAAACTTGCAAACTTATCGCCATTAACTTCCTGTAAAGTTCGGTGCTATTTAAACAAAAATGTCCATTAAAAAATTTGTGTATCTATATATGTTAGCAATATTTTGTTCCAGCATCATGTATGTATGAACGGATTAATCGATTGAAATGAAACTTGACAGTCTCTTAGATATTAGTCTAACTTAAAATCTTAGCCATTCCCGATTAAGATAGTTATTTATGTGTCAAGGGCGCAAAAGTAGGGGAATCGAGACTCTTTTGAGTTCGACGTATGAACGAAGCGAATGCGACAATCGAGTGAGTCGAGATTTCCCTATTTGCGCCCATGTCCTATATATAAAATTTTTATAACAATTTGCGTCAAAAACTCAACTAAATTGCTGTGATGGAAGTGGAAAGTGTGCGTAAAAGTACGATTTCCCCTCCTTTTAAGCACTAGAGCGTACTCTCTAAATTGAAATAGTGACTATTCGCTTATTCCTAGCTGCATACTCTGCGATGATTAAAATAGCGACTATTGGCTAGGAATCAGCGACTATTCGCTAGTAAAAAGCGAATTTTCAATGAGTAATTATTCACTTATTCCCAGCTGCATACTCTGCGCTAAGAATAAGCGAATAGTCGCTAATTTAGATTTAGAGAGTAAAAGACAGCGATTTAGTCGAGTTTTTGAAGCAAGGTGTTATAAAAAATATTAATTTGTATGGAAGAGGTATGCTACGTTTTTAATAATTCGAAAAATCAAAAATTTTCAAAAGTATTATTACACTTTAGAAGCATTAAAAAAAGGGTTCAAACAAAAATTATTTTCTTGTCAATTACTTTATTAAAAGGAAAGAAACCTTCTGTAAAATATTAAAAATGAACACATCTTCAAGAAAAAATAAAAAAAAAATGTTTATTGGATTTTTCTGGCCACCTGAGGGCACTGAAGTCAAACAAAAAAAATTTGGTCAATTGTCGGACAAGCTGCAGCCTCTTAGGGTCATCGGATTTAAAAACAAAAAAAGCGTTTTAAAGACAAGTCCAACATGTGAAATGTAAACAAACATGAAAATGGAAGAAATGACTGCCTATTTTGTGCACGCTTTTTTTTTGAAACGAGATAACAATTTTTCTTTCTCTATGCAGAAATAGAAAATTGTTAAATAAAATTATAAAATTACATCTTATTTAACTATAATAAAATGAAAATTAAATTGTTTTAGACATTTTCTCAAGGTTACGAAAAGAGAATATCTGACGCATGAACGATGAGGACATAGGTGGGAGAAATAGTGTGGGAAGGGGTAAAAGACCTAGTCTCTGTCCTCTGGTGGGGGTGTAATTGAGGGTTGACGTGCAATAAGAGGATACGCATGAAAGTGAAAGTCCCCGCGTATAGCGATTCTGCGGCTGCGCGAGGGGCTAAAGAAAATCCTGCGCGTCCCCTTATTGCACGTGAACCCTCAATTTCAGAATTTTACCCTTTCCAACATGAGACCAGTACATGAGCCATTCCATTACTGGCTCAAGTAGATTTTCTTTTTGATTAATACTAGTTCACAAAAAGTTCTAGAGTGAACCTGATGAATCTTTTTGTTTAAATATTTAGCTTATAATAATTTTTTCACCTTGATTTTATTTTTCAAATTTTTTTTTTTTTTCATTTTTTCTTTTCTGTGGATAAAATTATTTAAACAAAAAGTTTCCTGAGACCAATTCCAAAACATTTTGCAAGATTTTCTTATTGTTTTCATAAATGCAATAAACCAAAAAAAAATTTTAAACGATTAAAATAAAAATAAATGAATTTGTTTATAAAAAATTAATATTTTTTAAAATAAAAATTTAAAAAAATTTTCTTGACAACACTTGTTAAAAATCAAAAAACAACTTTTATTTTCTTAAAACAGTTTTTCAAAAATTCTTTTTGATGCAAATATATATGTGATTAAAAATAGATATTATACTTTTGAAAAAAACCAAAATTTAAAAATTTTTACCCGAAAATTTATAAATATTTATTAGTTAGTTGACTAATTTAATTAATATTTAACTTGTGTTGGGTTACTAAAAATTTCAGGCACTTTTTCCTAAGTATACCAAAAAAGTATTACTTAGAGCAGAGATTTCACTATTGCAGTGAAACTTATCTCTGTTCCAGTTAAAGCTTTCTTTTCGTATACAATAAATTACAAAACTGACAGTACTGAACCAGTAGTGGTTACCAGTACTGGTGTAGTAAACTTTTGATTGTGTGGAAAAATTAATGAAAATTGAAGAAAAGTTCTCATGTAGCGTTGCCAGATATTTTGATTATATTATGAAAAATATTTTTAGAAATTAATTTATTTGCATGTCTTATATATATTTAATGACACTTTTTTAACATTATATTCATTATATATTTATTTTGTATCATACAAATTTTGGTCATTTTCTTAATGTAAGAAAATTGTAATTGACAAATATGTATGACAAAGCAAGGAATTCCCTTAAGAACCAATGTTAAAAAAACTAAATCGGTCATAACTTTTTCCACAAGTACCTGCAAGTATCAAAAATTTAACTGCATCTCTATATAAGCTTTATTCCCAATAGTACGTAATATTGCAGTAATATTAAAATGTCCACCTCATGGTAATATTACCGGTTAATATAACTGTAATATTACACGCTTACTTTCACAGCATCGGATATTTAAGGATATTCCTGCGATATCCTAGGGATATCCATTTGATTCCGGCGGTTTGGACTTCCCTAGGATATCATCTGGATATCCTAGGGATATCGAAACCGCCGAAATAAAATAAATATCCCTAAGATGTCCCAGCGATATCCTTAAATATTCGGTGGTGTGAGGGTATTTGAAATACATAAAAATTTCAATCCCTTATATTAAAATGCAAAAAAAGATAATAATTAATCACTCAAATAGTCTTAAGTGATTTTTGAAATTTTTGTAATATTACTGTAATGTTACCGTAATATTAACCGGTAATATTACCACTCTCTGAATTTCAATTATCGACTTTTCGCTTATTCGTAGCTGCATACTTTGGGCTGATTTAAATAGCGACTATTCGCTAGTAATAAGCGAATTTTCAATGAATGATTATTCACTTATTCCCAGTTGCATACTCTGCGCTAAGAATAATCGAATATTTACTAATTCAAAGCTAATAGTCGCTAATTCAGATTTAGAGAACGAATTTGTAGCATCTTAATTTATAAGATTCATTCGAGTTCAGAAAAATCTTAATACAAGATTTTCTTTTTACTGTGTAGAAATAATTTATCATGTGAACGGAAAATATAAAGAAAACAAGGCTGTACTGATAAAAGTAATTGAAATTTTTTGAAAGGCCTAAGAGACAAAAGAGCATAAAAAATCAGTATTTCTACTAGGACATTACCGATATTTTCTGAGTGTCCCGAATTCCGTTAAAAAAAGGTTCAACCTGTTACATTATTTTTGGAATAGAAAACTCAAAATCGATGAAAATTCGATCTTTCAAATTTGTCGGGTATTAGGACTTTAAGAAGTAAAATGCAAGCATAAAATGAACTCTCCAAATTTGAATTAGCAACTACTCGCTTATTCGTATACCTGCTTACTCTGGGGTGATTAAGGGGGGTATGTTTAATTTGGTGTAAAAATGGCACTTTTTTGATAATTTTTTTCGGAGATATAAAGTGTGTTACTTTATTAACTTAATTTCCTTAACTTAAATATTTGAAATAAATTTTCTTAAATTCTCCTTCAAAAATATTGCAAATTAAACGAGTGTCAGTAAATCTCTTCAGGCGCCTCGTAAAAAAATGGATTTGCAGTGTTCAACGTAACTCGCAACAGAATCATCTAAATTTGAAAAAAAAATTTTTTGTTCAAGGGCATGTTTTTGAGGTAACTACGAGAGGTTTCTTTTTTATTTTTCGGAGCACTTGAAACCCAAAAACTCGATTTTCGATGAAAAAATCGATCTATTTTTTACTGTATAATTATTAATTATTTAAAAAAAAGTTCTCGTAGTTACCTGGGGAATTTAGCCAAGAAGAACTGTGCCAAATTTCAGAACGATCGGTTCTGTAGATTTTGAGATATCGTAAACACGGACTTCACAAAGGTCATTTCGAGAAAAACGCAATTTTAAATTTTGACAATTTTTAAAATTTGACTTCAGATTCGTTATCAGCGACTCCAAAAATTATACATACACATTAACGACATCAGAAAACATTCAGAAATGTCCGCAAAATGTTAAACACAAACTACATTCAAAATATACGAAAACACAGCCCGCGGAGCAACCGACACCTGAATGTTCAAATGCTCATAACTTCGTCAATTTTGTTCCGTTCGGCTTAAAATTTTTACACAATATTCTTGAAATACTATATATTCATTTAAAAAATTTGAAGAAAATACAAAGAAAAATTAAATACCATACCCCCCCTTAAAATAGCGACTATTCACTAGCAATCAGCGAATTTTCAATGAGTGATTATTCACTTATTCCCAGCTGCATATTCTGCGCTAAGAATAAGCGAATAGTCACTAATTCAAAGCGAATAGTCGCTAATTCAAATTTAGAGAGAAAAAATAAAATTTGGTATTATATCTACTTTTCTTAAAAGTAACTATTATATTTGTTCAAACTTACTTTTTGGACAATATAGTTGATATATTGTATATTTTTTATATTATAACTGGATTAATGCCTTTAGTATGGTGTATGAAGATACTTGTTTCAGATGATTAAACATGTTTAAAACTGTTCACAGATATTCCATGATTTAGCTAATGTTGTTATAAAATATTAAGCTATAAATTCTTAATTGACAAAATTGCACCTTAGTAGATTTTTAATGATATTTAATTTGAAATAAAAAACTTTTTTTTTAAATTACTAGATATTACAGAGTGAACTGTCTGTTTGACACTAAAAACCTTTATTATTGTATGGCTTCTTGTAACACAACTTTTGGAAGGTTAGAAATATCTGTAAAGAGAAAAACGTTTCTGTTTGGTCTATATACATAGACGACGGGAAAGCGTGGGCGGTTACATGCTCTAATTCTACGTTTGGTCCTATAAGATTCAACATGATGTTCCCACCCTAGAGAATTTCTTTTAAGGGGAGAGACTTGTGAAAATTCCAACCCATCAAAATTTGTAATGTTTAGGGGTGTCGACTTTTTTCTGATATTATGAAGTATTAAAAATTATAATATACTTTTAAAAATTTTGGAACAATTAATTACTTATTAATTTCTTAAATAAAACTTTAAAGTTTCTAAACATAAAATTTTAACTTTTTTCATAATTGTTATGACTTTTTTATTGCAAAATATCTTACACTTTTTCCCTCACAACATCTGGATATTCAAGATATCCAAAAGACGTTCTAGAAGTATCATTTTATCCGAGGAAATTTAAGATACCCTTAGAATCTCTCATGGATGTCCGTGCATGTCTTGAGGATATTCTAATTTCTCAATGCTTCTAGAACTTCCGTACTCGTGTGGAAATTTTTCAAAAGTTGCCCATTATGAGATTGGGCGCTAATCTGGCCCCAACTTGGCTTCTTAAAGTTGGGATATCCCTTTCAAATCCCACTCTTAAGTTAGTATTTCCCAATCAAAACCCAATTTTAAATTATAAAATTAAAATAATATTTATTTAAATAATAAATTAAAATTAGTATATTGAACATATACTAATAATAAAAATTAATTAATTTACTGTTTGCTTCACAATCGACGTACACGGGAAAAAAATTGTAATAATATTTAATATTTTGAAATCAATTTTTACTATAGTTGGTAGCATGTAATGGAAACTAACGGATTTCATTAATTATTATTATCACTTTTAAGAAAGCCTGAAATAAAAATAATATTATATAATATAGTCAGAAAATAAAAATTAGTAAAGTCATTTGAAAAATTAAGATTTTACTATAAGAAACTTAAATGACAATTTTTATTAAGAATTCCAGAAATATCATTATAAAATGATTACGTTAATTGCTTCAATATTTTCATATTTTGGTATAGCCGATACGAAAATTTCAGAAAAGAAGGTTGGGGAAGAGGGACCGAAGGCAACCGAGCGAGTCTGAACGAATTTGACCGATTGCTAACGAAAAGTCATAAGGATTACTCCTGTATTTGACTATATTTTCCATTCATTCTATTTCAGTTATATTTTTAAAAATGATTTGTTTTTCGAATTTATGTAAAATATATATTGTATTTCTTTAATCAATATTAAGATTAAACTGAATTTTTTTTAATTATCAAGAGTTTTATAAGAAATCATAAAAAATTCATGATCATTGTTACTTTAAAAAATGACCTCTTAAACGTTAGTTTAAGTTAGTTATTGTTTTCTTACGAATATTAAAAAAAATAGCGCATATAATTCAAACTAATAAATAAAGCGTTTCTTGCAAGTGCATTAAAATCTATCTTCTTAGTATATAAGGAAATTTTCTACCTTCGTAAAACATGTATATAATATAAGTGTGTGCGTTGCGATATTCTGCGTTTATGTATATGTGTATTTTCGATGAGTTAGGTAGGGATATATGTTAAGAAAATCAAAGAAAACATGCGTGCGTGTGTAGTAGTGTATATATATAAACCATACCAGTATCCTCTGCTACAATAGAGAACAATTAACAGCGATGACCCAATCCTTCGACAGGTATAGCAAATAATGAAAATTTTTTTTCTTTTATTTTAACGTCATTTTCAATTTTCCGTATAGTTTTAGCAAACGAAATGCGCGCTTTTTAATTTCCCTTCCCTTTTTCATATAGTTTTAGTAAAAATAAGAAAACTTTCTTATGAATTTTAGAATAGTAATTTTAATTTCTGTTAAGATTGTTTCTACAAAGCTTTTGCTAAAAATATATTAATTTTTAATAAATAGCCTTAGTTTTCATGACTTGCCAAAGAATATACTAAATTTTTATATCATTTTTAACATTTATTGTAAAGGATTTTCTTTCCGTGTAGTAAATTAACATTCTTATTTAAATTTACCTTCCTTTGTTATTTTACTGTCACGTGGCTATTTTACATATATGAATAATATGCTTAATAAACAAACAAGAGGATTGCAATTGTAAAAAGTATATAAATTTTTTCTTCTGTTATGTGATTGGGCAAACTTTGGTCAACCCATATTGGCCCTAACTGGGATTTCCCAAAGTGAAGTTTATTGAATTTGCTGTTAAAAATCAGTAAAAATTGATAAACGCCAATATTTTTTAAGAAATTAGTATATTACAAAAAAATTAGGTTACCACTCTCGAAATTTGAATTAGCGACTATTCGCTTATTCGTAGCTACATACTCTGGGCTGATTAAAATAGCGACTATTCGCTAGCAATTAGCGATTATTCGCTAGTAATCAGCGATTATTCGCTAGTAATCAGCGAATTTTCAATGAGTGATTATTCAGTTATTCCCAGCTGCATACTCTGCGCTAAGAATAAGCTAATTGTCACTAATTCAAAGCGAATAGTCGCTAATTCAGATTTAGAGAGCGCAGAAACTTATATTTCATGAAATAAATAAATTACAAAAACTTGGTTAAAAGTTTAATAATTTGTAACTAAAATTTTCTAAATAATTTATTCAACTAAATTATTATTTATTTAATTAAATTGAATGATTAATATACATTAAAAGTATACTATTTATTAATTGCAATTTTTGTTAATCTAACCTGTCATATAATTATTGTATATTTACTTTAAAATTCTTATATGCGTTAGTTAGCGTAGTTGGCTAAAGATTTAGGTTATAAGTCCGTAGATCCGGTCGTTGGTTTGAATGCTGCCGAGTGTTAGAGAATTTATTTTATATAAGTTCGCTACAATTTTAAGGTGTCTGTATTAAATATGACAAAATCGAAAAATATGCGATTACTGTAGCTTAATAACCTATTTTTTATTTTTTATAAATATTATTTCCACTTATCTAACACTCACAATATTTGGGCATAAATGGGATAATAATAATGTATATTTAGTTTAGTTGAAAATTATATATATGCTCTCTTACTCTGAATTAGTGGAAATTCACTGATTCGCCAGTAAATTTTAACTTATTTAAATTAGTGCTATACTTATAACTGGTTACTCAGTGAACTTTTACTGCTGAATCAGTGTATTTTCACTTATTCACCAGTGTATTTTCACTAGTTTGAATAAGTGGTATCCTTGTCAGTGATTCAGATTAAGAGAGTGGGGTATTCTATTTTAAACTTGTACCCCTAGTAAACAATTGACAATATAAGACAAATTTTAAATAATTATTTCTACTATTTAATTAATTCAAATTACTTTTGCAATGAGTAGTTTCGAAAGAGAAATTTCTGTACTTTATTATTGTACAAAAATTTTTTTTGAAAAATATTTAATTAGTATAAAAAATTTAGTTTGAAGGTTAAACTTTTAATTATCTAGGAACACGTCTCCTTTTTATTTCCCTAAAGTCTATAATAGACATTTTAGAGGATTTTAAGAAATTAATTGAAATTATACGTTTCAGGGGTTGAAATTTGTAAAATTTTAGTACCACCGTTTGAATATAAATCATACAAATTTCAACACGTTTCAACCTTTGAAACATATGAGAATTTTAATTAATTTCTCAAAATCCTCTAAAATCTATTATAAACTTTACGGAAATAAAAAATAGAATAAGCTTTCTTTCGGCATAGATTTTTTCAAAATCGGAGACAACTTGTTTTAAGATATTCAGAAGTTTAACCTTTAAACTAAATTTTTTATACTAATTTTATACTGTCAATAGTTTACTAGGAGTAAAATTTTAAAATACATTGAAAGAAAATACGTAACAAATTTTAATAATTATATTAGACATTTTCGTTAATATTTTTTAATTTAGGGAAAACGTGTAAAAATGGGAAATATTAATACAAAAAAAAATGTAGAAAATATTTTTCAGTCTTTAAGAAAATGTATTTCAAATTTTAGTAAATATTTACGAATCTTAACATAATTTCAGACGCATGAATATGCACTAAGCTAATTTTTTAGAATTGTGTTTTAATCGAATTTTATTTTGTAGAATATTATTTTTGCATAATAGTAATTTAAAATAATCTTAATTTTGCAGAATATTTATTTGTTAGAAATTTTATTTTACAGAATAAATTATTAACCGATTATCAATGTTGCCGAATTTTTATTCAGACGAAAAGTAATTAGCCAGAAATTCAGTTTGATCAAATTTCAATTTGTGCGAAACGTTGTTTTGTAGAACATTCATTTTGCAGAATAGTAATTCAAAAAATTAATTGTTATGCAGAAAGAAGATTAAAAAGAATATTAATTCAACATAATATCCTTCTGTTCGAATATTCATTTAACAGAAAGTGGAAATGGCCAAAATTCATTATGACAGAAATAATTGGCGCGAAGTTTAAAATTGACCAATCCCAATTTTTATGATAATTTCTGATTGGTCAATTTTAAACTTCGCGTCGAATTATTTCTGTTATAATGAATTTCGGGCATTTCCACTTCCTGTAAAATTAATATTCGAACAGAAAAATATTATGTTAAATTAATATTCTTTTTAATCTTCTTTCTGCATAATAATTAATTTTTTTAATTACTATTCTGCAAAATGAATATTCTACAAAACAACGTTTCGCACAAATTGAGATTGGATTAAATTGAATTTCCGGCTAATTACTTTTCGTTTAAATAAAAATTCGACAACATTGATAATCGGTTAATAATTTATTCTGCAAAATTAAAACAAATTAAAACAAGCTACAAATTAAAATTCATTTTGACACTTTTTCCCTAAATTGAAAAGTATTTACGAAATTTTGTTATATATTTTCTTTCAGTGTA